GTTTTATTCTATCCTCTTCGTGGTCCCAAAACCCTCGGGGGGTTGGAGAGCCGTTCTGGATTTAAAAAGGCTAAATTTCTACATAAAATACCGCAAATTCAAAATGCAGACACTACACTCACACTACGCGTGAGGTCGATCGATGCCAGAAAATCCCTTTTCCTTATGCTTCCAAGGATGGAGCGTAGTGTCTGCATTTTGAATTTGCGGTATTTTATGTAGAAATTTAGCCTTTTTAAATCCAGAACGGCTCTCCAACCCCCCGAGGGTTTTGGGACCACGAAGAGGATAGAATAAAACCACTGTGTGGATTATCCATCTCCAGTGCTGGAGAAGGTATGCTTCTATGGTCCCAGTAGATAATATTGTTTAATTGAAGGAACCTGCCATGTACCTTTCAACTGCTATAGGAAACAGATGCTCCCTCAAATAACCAGACTTTGTGCCACATAAAGCTTTATAAGTAACAATCAGCTCCTTGAATCACACCCAGATGCAAACTGGCAAGCAGTGCAGCTTGCAAAACAGAGGTGCTATATGGACATACCGAGGTATTCTGAACCAGTTGAAGTTTCTGGGTGGTCTTCAAGATCAGCCCCATGTGGAACACATTGCAAAAGTCAAGCCACGAGATGATCAGAGCATGAAGCCCCCTCCCCCCATCTAGGAAAGGATGCAGTTGGTGCAGGTACAGTGAATAGGTACAGCAGCCATCTATATTCATTGAACAACTGTGAGTTCAGGAAGACGTTGAGATTGTTAAGAAATTAGGGATGTGCATAACACATTCACAAACACAAAATGCAGAGTGGAGAAAAGAGAAAAAAGGCTCTTTGCCTGATCAAAACCAATTTGTGGGGGGAATTTGGTTTTAGGCAAAGAAAGAAAGAAAGATCTAGATCCTAAAAATCTGAAAATAATTTCCTTTGGACCTCGGGGGTAGGCAACCTTGGCTCTTTTATGACTTGTGGACTTCAACTCCGAGAATTCCTGAGCCAGCCATGCTGAGCCATGCTGGCTCAGGAATTCTGGGAGTTGAAGTGCATGAGTCATAAAAGAGCCAAGGTTGCCTACCCCTGCCTTAGATTTACGATGGCAACCCTGGCTCTGTCTGATGCTGTCATTAACTTAGAATCATGGGTTGTTAAGTGAGTAACCATCCTAATCAAGCCATTTGAGGTTTGGTCCGGGACTGCCTCCAACACCCCTCACCTGGCTAACTCCCTCCCCACTCTGTTCTTTTCGTCGCCCTTCACCCTCTCTTGCAGAGCGGCAAGCCTGATCCAGCAAGCAAGCCAGCAAAAATTCCTTTGATCCCCAGCAAGTACCAGTAGGCAAGTACATGCACCCACCTATCTTCTCTCCCAGTTCTTTGCACCAACCTTTAGCCTTTTGCGCCCAGCACTTTGCTGCCTTTGCTGTCCTTTTCAGTCCCAGCACCTTCCCTCCTCCCTCCCCATTTTCAGAATGACTAAAGCTGCACCCTGTCTTTGCAAACCTTCCCACAGACCAGTGCAGTTTTAGCTGGAATGGAAGTGAATCCAAAAAGGAGACAGCAAAGGCAGCAAGGTGCTGAATGCAAAAGTGAAAGGTTGGTGTGGAGACCTGGGAGAGAATGCTTGCTGGGACTTGCTGAAGCTTTTGGGGCATGGCCATGCAGTTCTGGGACTGCCCCACAAGTCAGGGTACAAGGTGGCCAACAGGGCAGAGGTGGGGTGGGGGGATAGGTGAGTAAGAGGAGTTGAAGCACCCTTGTGGTCATAAGTGCAGGTGGGATGCCAAGTGTCTGAATGTTGATTATTTGTCTGCAGAGGTGCTGCAATGGCCATGCCTTTGGGCATAGGTCATAAGCCCATTTTTTCAGCACTATTGTAATTTTAAACAATTTCTGACCGAATGGTGTAAGTCAAGGACTATGTACAGCCAGGATTATATTCAGTGTTGTCTGTAAATAGGGTGAGTTTTTTTGCTCTGTTTTGGAGAAAAATCAGAAAATAAGAAGTCTCTTAAATAGAGCGCTTATCAGGCGAGTAGAAAGCAGACCAGATTTATATCTCTGCGCATATCAATTACAAATGAAGCTAGCAATTCAGTAGTGCTAATAGGACAGTTTTTGATTATGTTGTGTCAGGATAATGGACAGAATCCAAACAATTGCAAAAATAGTTTTTTTGTGATCATTAGCAAACTTGAGGCTTTCTCATTCAACAGTAAAACTTTGTTTCATATTTTTCTTCTTGTCTGTTCTGCATTAAAAATGCAGTCTCAAAATGGAAGTTGCTCTGAAGGAAACGAATTTCATGGACTCAAGCCTTTTACATGAATCAGGAAATATCGTTTATGTGAATGTGGGAGGGGTGGAAGGAAAGATTATCCTGCTAGGAAGAGGTGTTTCTAACTTTCCCTCCCTCTCTGATAACTCTAGATATTACAAAAGTTGTTTTGGAAAGTCTTAGGATAGAATTGAAGTATTTTGGCTTGAGATCTTTGATCTATCCTCTCTTCTGACCTACTGTACTATTAGCAAGAACATAAACAATAGAATTGTTTGCTTATAATCTTCCATGAATGCTCTTTTTTAAGTGAAGGTTTTTATGCCAGAACAAAGATATTTTCATCCCATCATTTCTTTTAATCTCTTCTATAGAAAGGAAGCAAACATTCCATATGTATTAACTGCATTAAAATATATTCATTTCTGAGCCCTGAAGCATGATTGGAAAGAAAACTTTCTTCTTTAAAAGGGCCCTAGAATTACAATCAATATAGTATATTTTCCAGAGCTTCTAAGTTAGCACTATTCTTGAGTGGGTGAAACTGAAAATCCCTAGCATCAGCTTTTCTGCTTCCCTTTTAAATATGTCTACTTGTCTCTTCTCACAATTTTATTTATCTTAATGCACTGTATACAGTTCGATATCCTTTGGTGATTTTTAAATAGGTTTTCCTGGTTGGTTTTGGGAAAGTAATGTTAGAACAGCTAAGAAGTTGTTTACTCTAACATGGGACAGTATAATTTAACTTTGGGGCTCAAGGTTTTTGAGAGTAACTTTCTAGCTTCTATGGCAAATCATTTCTGAAACCAAGACATTTTCAAAACCACTATGTTGGAATCACTGTGGCTGTCCATGGAAAAAATAAAATAAAATCTGTCTTTTGTATACCCAATGTCTGGATTTTAAAATACCTCAGTTAAATTGGAGTTAATAAGTATATTTTGGTCATGTTATTTTTAATACCAAAAGTGATTCTGTGTAGTGATATTACTTACAAATAAGTGAAGTTTTTTTCTAATTTGCAAGTATATTGATGAAGTACAGAAGAAATGCTTAATGCCACATAACGATCTTTCAATGCTATGGGAAAATAACCTGTAGAAGTGGGTATTTGCTATCAGGTTTCCTAGTATCTCAGTTCAACCTGCCATCTAGTCCTTCCAGGCTTTCTGGGATTATTTCTCAGTTTCTGAGAAGTAAAAAATGGTTGGCTTCTGCATGTCTTGTGAGCATTCGGATTGGAAGGGCTGTCCAGGAGAGGGAAAGTCATTAACTAGAGTTGGTTAGAAGATGGGGAGCTATAAAAAAATGTTTTAAATAAATAAAAAGTGTAGCTCATATCTCCTTGTACCAGATTGGCAAGGTTTACAGTATATCAATCCATTATCAGCATATCTATCTGCCGCATCACATACAGGTTCAGCAGTTTGAACAGTTGGTTACGCCTTTTCCATGATAACTCTGCATAAATTAATCATACCACTAAAGCAATTTAATAATTATTTAATATTTGGTGTACATTTTATCTACTCATTAACAAAAACAAATGTCCCAACAATACAAAATAAAACCAACCTGTCACACAGGAAACAGGAAAACAGTTTGAGATATATATCTATAAACTGTCATTGTAATGCTTGGTATTTGAAGTTCTCCATAAAATGTAAGTGTGCATGCATAAAATGCCTGGGAGAAGGAAAATGGCACAGATAGATAACAGATGGTACCAGGCACTCTCTCTGAGGAGATATTTCTTCCCCAACTCTTCTAATTTCATGTAGAACCAAATTTCAGTTATAAATCTTAGAGAAAACATAAAATAGATTTAACAAACGTAAATATTTTAGAGTGAACTTCTAAATTCAATGAGGGTTTTAAAAAGGCCATGAAATAGCTAATCTTGTGAAGGCCTGAATCACAAGTGTTGATATTCCATAATAATGTATCCCTGTTGAACCTCTCTATGTAGATTAAATACTTGGTAGAATCTCTGATACGGGAAATACAGGTAGTTAGTGAGTATTGATAAGAGACTTTTAAACAATGGCAATTGGCTGTTATTTTAGACTAGAATGGCTTTTTAGTTTCAGAGAATGAAAATGGGATACCTACATTACCAAATATATCTTTGAGATTCCACTTAGTGCCTCTGAATGTTTTCCTATATTTTTAAGTAGTTGAAATCTTGGAAATTGTAGGGCGCTTTTAAACCTGTCAAATTTATTTTTTTAAAAAATCATAAATTCTACTGACTCCTAAATGAATGGTATAATTAAACAAGAAAAGTTTAGATATGCGGTAGCAAAAGCTAAATCGCTGAAAGAATTAAAGATGCTAGTAGGGTTTTGGAAATCTTCAGGACTCAAAGATAAAACCTGTAGGAAATCCATGTATCTAACTGTTTATCTAGCTAGAACTTAGAATCCTAGTATAGGAAGTATGGCTCTTCCTTAGGCATGCACATTTCTTTGCATAAACTCTTGAAACAGCTAGTACTTTTTACAGTAACTGTCAGTGTTAGAGTTTAAATGGTTTTTTTTTATTTCAGAATTTAGATTGGTGTCTGGCATACTTTTGGGGAGATACATATGCAGGCAACTTGAGCTAGCTAAATTTGAGCCATTAATAGGTTATGAAAGAAAAGCTAAAATTTGCATGCACAATGCTGTATGTTAATGATTGTCAAATGTTTCTCTAAGGATCTACTTCTGTTTTTCTCATTAGGAAGAAAGTTCTGGCACTGTTGCATCAGTATCTACACTCAGTCTATTAAACACTGGGGTATGAAATTTAATATTTTTCTTTCACATTCTATGCCATTTAGGATCTTTGTAGCATTCATTGAAATACAAGGTACATTACATAATTGTAATATGAGTGAACAGTACTAACACATCAAGCCATTAAATACCATTAACAAAAGGGATTATATTAATTGCCTTTGTTTAATAATAATTATTGATATAAACTGATTTGTTTCTCGTAAGTTTACATAATTTTACTGTTTGGTTGAAATATGCTTTACTATATAAATTTCATTTATATTTAGTTGATTCCGCTGCATAATGCATTTGGCCAACTTATTTTGTTGGTATAAATGTATAGGTATTTTCAATAGCTTTAATATCTCATTGCTTTATGAAAGTTGCTACTTTTAATACAATGGGGTGTTGAAATCTTCCGAGAACAAATTTAAATGAGTTGGTGAAAGAAAAAGAATGTTAGATTTGAACATGTTAAACGCTTCAGTTATACTCTTATAATTTGAAGGAAAATGCTAAAACAATAGTTGTTTCTCCAATCATCTAGGCTCAAGCAAAACACTCCTCCTACATAAACTGTTTACTCCTTCCAGGTCAATTGTATAATTGTTCTCTCCTTAAGGTTCAGAGGTTCAGAAGAAAGCAGTCTATTTATTTAAAAAAATCATACAGTAACTAATTACAAAATAAATCTTTTAATTAGAAAGAATGAGTGACAACTAATAATGTAATGCACACATCGCAGTTAGGGATGTGATGACAAATGGGATTGTGAATAACTAGACTTAGCTTTTTATTTAGAAACCTGATCCTGCCCTCTTCAGAGGCAGTTACAACTTTCAGTGTGACTATTTTATTAGGCAACAAATTAAGCAAAATTTTCCTAATATCTTAAGTTTTACCCATGTCTTAAATTTTTACTAATGTCTTAAACCACACATCAGTCTAGCCTTTTGAGAAATTTGATTTGAATTCTCACTGAATTCAATATTTAGACCTTCTCAACTGCTATTTAAAATCTTTTGTTGCTTTCTGTTTAATGATTGTCAGTGGCTTTAATAGAAAGTCACAGTGTAAGAGTTATTGGTATCTCATTATATTTGACAAAAATATTATATATTCCATTTAAGATACATCAGAATTAGAAATAAATTGGGTTAATTACAACGTATGTGTCAATGCTGCTAACATTGGATGTTCTTGCTTTGACAACATATGGAGATGCAGCCATTTTCCTTCTTATGTTTTACTCTTAGAATTAGAGTTAGAATTAGATGATAATGGGGGGGGGAGGAGGAATATGTATGGGAATATGATATAACAATATTGTAATAGTGTGAGGACTAAGGTTTTTTGAAAAAAGAGATGATAAGAAATGGCGGGGTTGGAGAACAAGAGGGAAAGCCTGCATTTCAAACTAATTGGAGAATGTGATTTATGACAGTTAATTAGAGGAGGGAGTTGTGCTTGGTACTATGTGCCCAGGGGAGGGGAATTCAGATTTTGGCTTTGCTATGTAAGTGGGGAAGCTATGCTACTCAGATAAAGATTCTTTAAGGTAAACAATGCCTCAAAGTTCTTTGAAGAGTTTCATCTGTGGGAACCATGACAGTATGTTTACAAATGCAAGAGAGCTCAGGTTTGCCACAATATTTTCTTTTCCTTACTTTCTGTTTTGCCTTTGTTGATTTGGTTTTTCAATTCTGTATATATTTGGATGGCTTTTCTTATTTTGTGACTCTCCATGAAGCCATAATAATAATCTTGATAACAAGATGAAAGAATTAGGGAATTTGTGGGGTGATGATGGCAAGTATTGGGGTTTCTAATACTTGGATTTTTTTTGTGAATATCTTTACAAGAGGCCTGACTTGAATTGAAGACTATGGAGAAGTCATAGAGCTATAGACTAGATTGGAATTTTTTTGTAAAAAAAAAAGAAAACGACAAACCTTTTTATGTACATATGCTGTGTAGCTGCCAAGAATTGAAATTGACTTGAGGGCATCTCTTTTTTATCAGAAGTTTTAAAATGATGCTTCTTATTAGGACTGTTTAGTACTTTGGATTCAAATGAAAAAAAAATATTTGGCATGCACATTGCAAAGAAAGATGTCCCTGCACTATATGAAGACCTCAGTGTATCTGAAACATTGTACAGCTCTATTGTTTACAAAAAAAGAGACATGTTGGTTGATTTCTGTTACTTTATTTAGTTATCTTCATTTCCTCTTTTTGGAAGCGTGTTGCCATATCTTTGGCAGTGCAGACTGCTTTTTTTATATATATGAGTTTTCCTGTTTATTATCCACCAAAGTCCCTTTGCTAAATGCCAGCATTTTCTCTCTGAAGTGCAAATTTTGGAATTAAGTGTCTCATTTTTAGGAAGACCTGATTTTGGTTTGGAATATTCATTTTAGTCCAGACAGAAATTTCCTTGCGTTCTACTCTGGGAAGAGTGACGTATCCTGATTTGGTATATTAAATAGAATAATTAATAAATTTAGAATTCCTCATTTGAACTCAAACTCAAGTTTCTATTTTTCAAGAAAGGATCATACATAAAGGGGCAAGAAATTGGATTAGTATCTGATTCAGAATTCCTCTAAACTGTATTTGTTATGGTTTACATCAAAAAAGCTTTGGGACTTCCATCAGTTCCCCTGATATGTCTGTTTCCAGCAGGTAATGGATAGATGAAACAAGACAGCACTAGCAAACTGTCTATTTCCTGAGTATTAATCTAAGGAATCCAATGGAGCGTTTTGATGGCATAGTGGTGAAGACGCTAGGCCCCCCCCCAACTTGGAAGGTTGAGAGTTCAATCCTAGGTAATGGCAGATAATTCTATCCTAAGGCACAAAGAAAATATATCTGCTGCAAACTCTGTGTGGTATCAGGAAGGGCATCCAGCCAGTAAATGCTCAGCTCCATCCAGTCGCCCTGATGCTACTCTTAATTAAGGGATTACAGGGTCATAAAAAGGGATGGGTTTTTTTAATCTAAGGAATCCAATATTTCTGTTTAAGGACTAGCAGCATTAAGAATTCTAAGAGTGTAAAAGACATAGAGATTTTTTTAAAAAATAAGACATTTCCTGCCTGAATGCTTATGGTATAGTAATTCCACTGAAATTTGTTTAGTTTGGAGTATTTGCTCAAAGAAATTTGGCAATGTGTTTCCTCCCTTTGCTTTTTTCTGCCTTGGATAGAAAAGGGGCGTTGACTTACCTGAACGCCTTTTCTCAGCACGGAGATGGATAATCCACGCAGTGGGTTGAGACTGTATTCCTGGCCAATCAGATCAGTCAGCCAAAGTTGCCACGCCCTGTCTTGGACCATGATCCTTTAGTCTTGACTGATCTAGCCATGCAGAGACATCTACAACTTTTGGCTCCTGGGCAGGTGTAGTTCCTTTCCATTAGGGGGGATTTTTTCTAGTAGCTGAAATTGCTTAGTTTAAAAGTTAATTAGAGATAATTTAATTCAATTTAATTGACCACTCAAAAATTTCCTTGCTAAATTGTAAAACTCAGGAAGTCAGATTCCTACAGGGGAAACCACCCCCACTTAAAAGGGGGAAATCCCTAACTCCCCTCCCTAACCAACCCCAGCCACCTTCCAGCAGCCGGCAGCCGCCTTAAACAAACGGGGAGGCTCGGGCAACCCCTCGCGTTTAAAACAAAAAAAAAAAAAAGACAGAAAGGCAAGCAGTTAGTGAGGGAAGCGTAGGACAAAGGGGACGCATGCTGGGAGGGAGATTGATTAAGGGAAACAGCTGGCGTGCGAAGGAGCAGTCTTTTCACTCCAGGCTGCTCAGGATTTTTTAAACGAGGCGCCATTGTCTGCACAGCTGGAAGCACGCGCAGCTCTTTGTTACAACCGCACGTGGCATAGGCAGCCTTGTTAACACATGCGCAGTAGTTTCCTGGCAGCGGCGGCCATATTTTTTGTCCAAACAGGGGAGTTAAAGTTGCTTAAGAAAGCTAGGTTCAGCCGCTGGAGTGAATTAATAGGCAAGCAGTACTGGGATACTAAAGCATCTATTATTCATTCAGAGACATTCAAATCAGACACATAGCTACTGGTTCCACGACTTGGTGTCTTCTACCTAAAGTAAATAAGAACCTTTCATAACTAACTGTGTTTAGTTGCCTTTGGCTCCTTCCAGACTTCGGGTCCCCCATTAGTGGCCCGTACGCCTCTGGATTTAGTGGTGGGTTCCAGGCATCCCCAGTCGCGTGCCTGTCCTTACCCACCATAGTCAAGCCGGGTTCCAGGCATTCCCATTAGCGTGCCTGTTCTTATCCGTGCACAGTGACTAACTCTGACAATTTTGCAGAGTCTGCTCCTGAGTTCCAGACGCCCCCAGTAGTGCGCCTGTCCTTACTCAAAGTTGGAGCTCTCCTACTACCTGGGTCCCCCCTATCGCGGCCCAGCGTTAGTGGAGAATGGAGGAAGCAATCATTCCCTCCACTGGAGCCCCGCCTTCATCCTCTGGAGCACCTGCTTCAGAGGATTCGGAATCCTCTGCAGCCCCTAGAAAGGCTGCAAGGAAGTCATCAAAGAAGGCTGACAAACAGGCAATCAGAAGACACCAAGCCCTAGAAAAAGAGTTCGACAGAGCCCAGAAAAGGGCCAGAATTGAAAATAGGCAGAATGGGGGAATAGGTCCTGATCTACCGCTGGGTCTCCCTTCATCCCCACGGGCCATTTGGTCATTAGGGAGCTCATCACAGTCCCAAACAGAGGGTGGGATAGGCGAATTCTCATCGCTCTCCCGATCCCCCTCCCCACGGAGGTTACAGGAAACCCCGAGGACCATGCTAACCACAGCACCTGCAGGGTCGCAGGCAATGGTCACTCCTCCTGCATTGACGGGGGATCTGCTAGCTACCCTAATAGCACAGGCAGTGGACCGTGCATTTGAGGCCAGGGCTCAAACTTCAAAAGCCAAGTCTCTAGGGCTTAGAACGAGGCATCGGGAGGAAACGGAGGACCATCAGGACCTCTCCTCCGT